GGGCCCTGCGAGCGCTGCGGCGTCGTGCACACCGCCCAGGTCCCGGACCCTTGCCTGGAAGCGGCACTGAAAAGCGAGACGAGCGACGACGAGGCTTTGTTGCTCTGCTAGGTACGAGTCAGCCAGGGGAGGTCACGTACAGGTTGGAGCAATATCCATTCATTGTTTCGTAACTTTACAGCTACACTAGTATTAATTTAAAGAGAAAAAAGATGCAGGGTGATTTCTTACTGTATGTTAGCCTGCATGGTTAAGTTAAACGATTTGTCACTCTTTGAACTCGAGAGTTTGCTACTTTAGCAGCTAAAAATGCATTATGTATTCATATTGTTCAGTAATGTCCTTCCATTTGTTTCTAATTGTTTCATCCAGGTACTGTAGCTCATGTCATACGTATGGCTGCTGAAACTCACTTGATGTCAGTTTATCCTATGTTAGAACTATTATTTGTACAAAATATCTTCTTTTAATTGAACCCTTTCTGCTTTTGCCAATACATCTTGTAACTCAGTCTACTAGATGTTAAGGTTGTTAATGTACTCCCAAGAGGGGGGACCCTTCTACACACCTGTGTTTTTATTTATATAACATTTGTCTAACTATTACTGGATTTCATCATAATAAGAGCTTGTCCAAGAGAAAAAAAACTTTGTCTAAACATTTTTCTCTTATGTTGAACATGCAGTGATGTGACATTTAGATAGTTAATGGCAAAACAAAACTCTTTTATAAAATTTTCTAACATTGACTTTAATATTCTAATATGGTACAAACCAAATGGTAAAATCACAAGTCATTTCTTTTTTCATCTCTATGTAGGGACAGGATTAAGCGAACAAAGATATTCTACTATGCATTAAATCTTGAACTTTATAAAATATGTACAGAAATTGTACAAGGTAAGTTCCAACTGGTAATGTCTTTCCCTGGTACAGGGTTGTGCTTGTATTGGACCCACGGGATTTGCACTAAAATCATATCAAGGTCTCAGATGAGTTTAGTGCATAAGCACTATCACTTTAAATACTATTATTTGCTACCACAATGACTATATATTTCCATAGCTTTTGGGGGGGTAAGGGAGGCATTTTTATTACAACTTGAAATTGCTTTGCTGGTTTTATATTTATTTGTTGTATTTAAAGTCTGCATTATTATAAGAAAGTGATTTTTTTCAATATATTTTATTCATGAGGGGGATCATGCTGCCTGTTGAAAAACAAATTAAGAAATCGTTTAGATCAGCTCCCTGTTTTAAGTAGAGTGGTTTGCAAACCCCACATATTATTTTTATTGTCAGTTCCTGTTTATTTATTCTTTAGCTGTCTGTTTTTGTAGCTTAACGATTGAGTATGAAATATGTATTTGTGTGTGATTATTGCTATTTATTAAGTTTTAAATACTTTGCTGAATGTCATTTTAAAGCATGTTTGAGGTCTTGTGTATTTGTCCTGTTATGCCGTCAGGAAGAACTGACTGAAATGTTTTAATATGTATCAAAATTAAAATGACTTTTTTTGTATTGCTTTGGGGTGCTTTTTAAATCAAAGTTGATCTTTATTTTTGTTTCATTTTGGTGTATATACAGATCCAGGCCATAACATATATAGCATATCTAGAAGACAAAACATGGGGGGTGGGGCAGGGAATTCTTCATTAACTGCTTTATAGTAAAGTAGTAGCTTATCCTGGTACTGGAGGAAAGAATCCCTAAGGACCTGAATATTATTTTGTCTTTAAAAAACTGCCTCTGGTTGGTATATCTTCAAAGTTGCAGTAATTCAATCAGCTCTCTCTTTATATTATGTTTGGATGCATTTCAGACCCTTATTGAATATACTACCATGCATAGGTTTTTGGGGTTTGTTCCCTAGCATGTGTTTCAATTTTTTTTTAATTAACTAATAAATTTTCCTGGGTCAAACAGTAAAAAATAAATCTCTCTCCTACCCCTGACACCCATCTTTTAGTTCCCTTTCAAAGAGGTAGATACTAATACCAGATTCTCCTTTACCCCTCCAGAAATACCACATAGATATATTCACATATATATAAATGATACATATAGTAAGGCAAATTGTATCATACTATGCATACTTTTTCTTTACCATTTTTCAAAGAAAAAATATATCAGAGTTGAGTTGTTTATCATTACCCAAGGGCATGCTTTTACTGACTTAGAGAGGAAGGGGGGAAGAGAGAGAAACATCGATGTGAGAGAGAAGCATTGATTGGTTGTCCCCACTGGGGCTCGAACCCACAACCCAGGTATGTTCCCTGACCAGGAATCAAACCCACGACCTCTTGGTGTATGGGAATATGCTCCAACCAACTGAGCCACACTGGCCAGGGCATATTTGAGTTTTAATGTTAAAAGTAGAGTTGGGTAGTCCAGCCAGTGTGGCTAAGTGGTTGAGCATCAACCCATGACCCTGGAGGTCACGGTTCAATTCCCAGTCGAGGCACATGCCCGGGTTGTGGGCTCCATCCCCAGTGGGGGGTGTGCAGGAGGCAGCCGATTGATGGCTCTCTCATCACTGATGTTTCTATCTCTCCCTCTCCCTCTGCCTCTCTCTGAAATCAATAAAAGCAAATTTTTAAAAAGGAAAGTTAGGTATTTCTATTATTTGATTTTTTCACATTAAATCATTGATCTATCCTGAATTTAAGTCTCTACCTTTTCCCCCAAGTTATCCTAGTTATCCCAAATCTGTTTATTAAATAAACCCATCCTTTCTTTACTGTTTGAAATGACCCCTTTATCATATAGTAAATTTCCACGTTACTGGTCTGTGCTTTTAGACTCACATTCTGTTCCCTTCAGTTTTTTTTTTGTACTAGTCCCACACTGTTTTAATAACTAATTTTATGTGTTTCAAATATCCTTCCTTATTTTTCCATCTTAACTTGATAGAATCAACTTGCTGAGTTCTGCAAAACAAATCCTTATTGGTATTTTTATTTTTTTAGACAGTTTTACTTCTATAGATTGTGAAATTTGACATAACTAGTATGTTAAATCTTCTGTCTAAATCATGGTGCCCTATCTTAAAAGGTGCCCATTTGTCTTGTTTACTTCAGGTATGTTTTACATTTTGCTTTACAGATATACCTTGTATATTTTTTTAGTTTATTAGGAATTTCATCATTTTTGTTATCATTACTAGGTTCTTTCTGTTTATAATTTAGTCTGATTTGGTATATATGAAGGCTAATGATTTATTTATGTTTATCTTCCACCCAGCTACCCAACCCCCATTTTCTTATATAGTAATCGTATGTCAATAGAGAGAAGGCCACCAGGAGTGGCTGATGGTATTTGTTGGGCAAACGAAAGGCATGGTCTTCTCAAGAAGCCGCCTAGTGGTTTACTTCAGCATTACCGTTACTTACTTTGCAAAACAAATGAGTTCAATACTTGTTTTTTGCAACAAATGAACTTCTTTGAAAGCAAAACTGTAAATTAAATAGTAAGTGAGGCTGAATCTGAGTTTGGAGCTCCGTAGAAATCTAAAAGAAACTTTTAACTGTGTCCTTATTACTGTGTTCTCATTAAAAATCCCTCCCCGGAGCCCCGCGCTGTAACACTGACAGGGTGGAAATGAAGTTGGGCTCTTCTCATGTTCCACTGTGCTCGGTGGCAGGTCATCGAAGGTAAATATGATGCAGTTCCCTTTTCCAGAAGTTCACGGGTTAGTGCCCTTAAGTACACAGACGGGTGCTTAGGTGGTAGTGTAGCCGCGGAGAAACTTCATTTCTTTACTGACCTTCCCCCCTTTGTTTTCCATCCACACCGGCCCCATCCAGCCTCATCCAGCACCCGACCCACCTGCCTCCTCCCTTGCCCATTCTTTTAACGGTTAGGCCCTCAGGACAGTGACGTCCTGGTCAGCAAATAATCTTAGGGACAAAGCCTCCATCAAACTAGAGGTAAAATCAGGGTGTCAGTTGTGTTTCAACTCCAGGCCCAGAAAAGTGGTGGAACCAGACAAAGTGACACTACCTATGGCTCGCATCAGGACCAGATGTACTGATGAGCTACCCCCACCTTAGCACCCACCAGTCAGTAGACACCACGACCCTGACCTTGACCCTGACTCCCTTAGTCACCATGATTCATGCTTTTTTCCCGTGTACCCCATCGCTGGGAAGCCAGGTCTTTGAGCGTGATCTAACCTGTCTGGGCATGGGCCACTTCCTAGAAATAAACCCTTACTTTCTTTGCTGCAAACTCCTGTTCGTGTCATATCGGCCTTTGATGCTCACAGGCAAATGGACCCCTTTAGTCCGGTAACAGTAAACAGCATCCTTCACCTGCAACGTTTTCACTGCGTTCACCATGTCTGGCACTAAATACCTCTTACAGTAAAAAAGTAATTTTCTTTCAACAAATATTTAAGATGAACAACATTTTTAATGAAGAAGGAATATATACAACTCCATCGCTTCCCAGTTATAGTAGCGAAATAAAAGCATAATATTAGATAGCACAGAGAGTGCAGAGGCAGTGAGCCCGGGTGGGACAAGTCCAAGTTATGAGGAGCCACACCCTGACTTCTGTCTCT